GTGCTTCTGTCTCCAGGTGTGGACAACACTTATGTTGCCTTATCAATTAACAAGCTATGACGGGTGTGCTGGCAACAGAACACTAAAGGTATATAATGTCATGATTCTTGAACATATGATGCCTACAGAATAATATTCAGCCTCCCCATGTTTTGCTGATTTAATAGCAAGTAATCAAAAAAGGATTTAATATTTTTCATCGTGTGAGCTTAACAAAGTATGTCGCAAATGTTACAGGTGTATGTATAACAATATGAACTGAATCCGTTACCACATATAGACGATCTCTATTTAACTGATTGTGTGTCTTCTAAAACCAATGAGCACTAGTGATGACTAGTACTTGAAACATGTATTTTATTATGTTTATTCATTTAGATTACTTTGTATTCTGTTTTCATTTGACACTAAAGGATCTTTTGTTGCTTATTAGTTTCAAAAAGTCTGAATCAAAGTTAAAGGTGAAAGAATAAAAGATGAGAACTTCAAAGGAGTTGGGAGAGGGGGATAATATTTAGAGTAAAGGAGATTTGCATCAATGCATCCTGATACACAGGAAATATAACATTCTTAATTGTGCCACACTAGTGCATTAAAGTAAAGTATATTGTATTTTTTTCTTCCAGCAGAATCGCTGATGAGTGGACGGTCAGAAGGCTCGCGCTGCTTCCATTGTGGATTCAGTCGGCAGGAGACTCACAACCTAAAAGCTCGGTCGGACCCAGTTCAGCAGCATTTGGATGAGAAAGCTTTTGCTGGACTCTAACAAAGACCTCACACCAAATGTAAGACTAGTGATTCTGCTGGGAAGAATGGATAGGATTGGCTTTTAAGCCTTGCATTATGGTAAGAGTTGAACTATCGACCACAGAAGACTGACTGTAAATAAGGACTTCCAGTTCAACGTCTAGTTTCTGTTAGATTTCAGCTTCACTCAGATTTGGCTACTGCCATGACGCCAGATGTATGGGAACTGTGAGAATGTGACGTTAGTCCCTCAGGTCTCTGTAATTACCTTGTTTTGTATTTATTACCAGGCAACACTAATAACAACCTCCACTAGCTAAATATGTACTTGCTTCTTCAGATCAATGATCCTTAAAGAATTATAAGATTTTCTTTATTATCTTCAATCCAACCCTACTGTGCATCTTACGTCATTTTCAGTTTGTACATTACTGCACTTAAAGTTGGTGGATAGAAGCTGTTGTTGATTAAAATGCTGCTTTTGTTTGAGCTTCTGAGATTCACTTAATTTAGTTTGACAGTCCAAATATTTCTGATGATTTATAGCATTGCAACAAGATACACAAGAGGACAAATGTTTTACTTTATGCATAATACAATTCATTTACTTTTACATCCTCAATTATTTAAACATTTCAAATGTATTGTTGCTCTTGAATAAATTACTAAATGCTTAAAATGTTTACATATACAAGCTCTTTAATACTTTGAATTATGTAACCGCAATACAAAACACACATCAAACTATAGGATGAAAGGTTGGATTATGTCGTACAAAGTGTGATATATCTACTGAATCATAGCGTTAACAGCGTTACAGCTTGTATAAACAGTTTGATTTTAGATTGATACCCGAAAACATTTCCCAACTTCTCATTAACCACTGAAAAATATATGAATTATTACCCCAATTATTCCTACAAAATCACTGAGGCACTTGCAATACAGCTGGTTTCAAAACTGTCCCATCTGTACTTTTATTACAATTATTTCTTGAAACTGACAAAAGGAAGCATTGTTGTACCACAAGATAAAGTTAAGTACAAGGTTTTGGTCAGTCTTTATATTAACAATATACACAGTATCATAGACCATTAGACACCGTTATTATCGAGAACGGGACGCTAAATAGTTCTGGCCGGTCACACCTTGGACGTTCAACTATTGGTTAACACACCGTGAGATGAGTCTGGGTGTTTTTCCTTTTATAGATACACACTTTCTCCAAGTTAGTGCCAATGATATACAAAAGAAGTTTCCTAAAACCAGGAGAAATGTTCTCTTGATTGAATCTGAAATTGAAACAAGGGTCTTAGAAGTATGATGTACACTTTTATGTAATACTTTAGAATATTGTATGTTGTGGATAAAGAGTGAGATATTTATTGATAGTGGCTGAGACTTACAGTATATATGATTGGCACTTTTTAAAGACACATCTTATTATGCTAATCCAATGACCTTACATATCTGTCTGTAAATATTTAATGTGCGGCATAGTCTTTTTTTCTACTCTACTTTTCATTTGGTGCCAAACAGCAGTAAATGCACTGTGCTGTGGATGATCTTCAGAAATTCTACTGTCCAGCTAAGAGTAAGAAGGATTTTGTGCATTGTTTTATGGATATGTCTATAAAGTATCTATTATAGTAGTGTTGCTGTAGGGAGGCAAAAAACTGCAATTAAAACGCATAAAATATTGCATAAAGCCCAATTTCAGCAATGTCAAAAATAAAAAAAAGGCATTAACCGAAATATATTCAATCAATTAAAATCCACAATAAAGAATAACGTCCCAATAAAATGAACATGACTTAAAAACAAAATCATTCTATTCCTTTGATGGGTTCATTTGTCTCCATACTGGAAAAAACTAAGTAGAGGAAGACTGCCACAGCCACGAAGAACACAAACTGAACCCAGAGCGGGACCAGGCGGGACGACGGCGGGGCCTTCGGCGCTTCTTTAGGGGGTCCGGGGGTCGATTTCAAATAGGGGCTTTTGGAAGTGGGCGGCAGGTCGTACATGTGGGGCCTGAAAGGGAATGGAATCAATTATGCTTCGGAACCTAATTAAAATGATCCACTACAAAGTACCCCTGATTTCTGAAGTCTGGTGTTAGCATTGGTTTACTATGATGTACCTGAAATCATACTTTAACGTAATTACGGTCTTGCCTCCTTTGGGCCATTCAATGTCAGTTACACCACATTTTAAACAGCAAAACTATTTTCTGACATTTTTAAACTAAATCATTGTTGGAGGAAATATTCCGATCTTCTAGCAGCTGGTTGAGGTGAAGCTTGTATAGCAATATTTGATATCATGTTGGGTAGTTTAATCTGAAACACTATATTTTATCAACGTAATCTTTAACAGCACGCAGTAACTATAGCTGTCTAATAAATGCAGTGGACTAAGGAGTGCCGAGTACAATATGTTTCAAGTTGGAGTAAGACATTTAAGTTAAAGTTGGAGTAAGACATTTAAAAAGGAAAGTATGGAGATACCAAAAGTAATTTAGTAAAGTCAAAAAGGTGACACGGACTACATTTGGAAATGATCTGATGGTGACACTGTTTGACTTTATATAAATATACTTACTCATCAGAAAATTCCTTTCCACCGTATTCAGGCTTTGGTCTTGAATAGTTTGAGTAGGATGTCCTGTCGAGAGGGAGATACAACCTCAAATATTGGAATACTGACAACTTCCAGTCAAACAAAAAATATTTATAAAGTTATAACTCACTCATGTTTAAGTTCCCTTTCACTCCAAGCCGGTCTTGACCTTATGTATGACCCACTAGATAGACGAGAAAAATAAGTGATTAAGAAGTATTTGTATTTGATTCAATAAATATAAGAAAGTAATTTAATGTTTTGAGCGGGTAATGGAAAAGCTGACCTGTCTCCCGCACCGTCACTCCTGTCCTGCAACATTAGAAGCAGTGATAATAAGTACTGATGTTTGCTTTTAGAAACATTGAATACAAACATTTGGTATAACTTATTTATTAGGCATGTCATGGAAAAATACAACCATAAAAGGGTGAACAGAAATACTTACAGGAGTTCTGTATTCATAGGTCACTTCCTCTGAAATTAAGACACAAACATGAATAACATGTATAATTATGTTGCTCCAATTTGACCTTAAGACTGAGGCTCATTTGAATGAATTGTTGTTGAATCCATTTGTACCGGATAATTATAAAGTTCTGGCACAATAATGGACTTTATTACTGCACATGTATTCATAAAAGTAAAGCTTTAATATTGACTGCTGTTCTGAGTGTATATGTAAAGTTACATAATGAGTTACCCTCTTCTCTGTAGTAGGTTTGGTCAGGTGATGGTTTCGCTTTCTTTCCTTTGGCCATGGCTTCTTTCAGCTTCCTTTCATAGAGACTTCTGGTGGAGTCTGAGAACCAAACGTAGTTTTAGACATTATTAACAAGTGTCCACATGAAACCAGGGAGATTCTGGCAGTGCTACAGGAGTGAAGTCAGTAACTTTACTCAGGTAAGGAGGAGGCCTGTGGAGTTGATTAAAAAACGGGCGCAAAGTATGAGATTGTTGAGAGCCACTCACCGACCACAGGCCCGTGCTTTATCTCGTACTCGTCCAGCAGGTCGCTCATCTCCTTCACAGTTTTACTCCTTAGCGAAGACATGTTGCTGGCTAGATTAATTCGTTTAGGTGTCTGTGTTGTGTTGTGTTATTATTGTTTGTTCTTTTTCGGTTAGTCTGTTAGTTTCGGTTGCCAAAACCAGACCAACAACCATAACTCCTCCCACCGATAGTGACCAGGAGGCGCTCGTTTTGTCTCGCAGTCAGTAAAGGCGGTAGTCGAACGGGAGTTTGAAAACATGGAGAGATTGAACCCCGCCCTCCTTTCTTGACCCGAATGTTAAAAACATTCGCTACTTCCGTCAAATGTTACATCACTTCCATTTCCGTTTGAGACATTCTTCTTTATGGTTTTTTGTCTTCTCCTTTGCAGAAATGAAGCAGCGCCACTAGCTGGCTTCTAATAAATTCTATGTCTTTTAAAAAAATATGAATTCGATGTGTTCATCACAAATGAGCAATTGTTATCTAGAATCCAGATCATAACGTCTTTTAAATTCTCTACGAAGATCTGGCTGATTATTTTAAGGTTAGTAATATTACTGACAGTGGAAGAAACATGATTCAGATCATTTAAACTTACATAGTACAACATAAAGTACAAACAAATTAAACCACGATTTCATAATATATTCAAAGTTTATTTTGTTTGTTAAATATCTTATCTGCAAAGTTACTGGTAAATATAATTGTCAGAAGTATCATATTTATTAAAAGCAGAAGCAAAGGACTACTCAAGCACCACATGTATCTCAAAAAAGTAGTTAATTTACTGAATATTTTCCCACTATATTGCATTAAGAGTGCCTGGAAATAGGCCTTTTTAATCCTTCTAATACATCTATATTTCTTACCAAATGTGATCATTTTGACTTATCTACAGTTTAAACAAATACATGCCTCATTGTTAGCATATACACATCTTTAGTTAGCAGAAAATTGCACGTTACAGTCAACAAAACACACGTTTAAATGTTTATCACTTCATTTTAACAAAAGCATATTTTATATGAACCAGCCGGCTTGGTCTGAGGCCAACCAGAACATCAGCAGTCCGGTCAGAATCACCACACACATCTTCAGTGTCAGCTTCAGCACGTTGAAACACTGCAGGAACAAAGGAAAGAATAGAGAGGGAAAGTAACCATAAAGTTCAGGAACAAATGAACAAAGTGAACGTTCAGTGAGGGTCAGTGAGTACACACTTTTTGTTTCCTGCTACAAATGTGTGTGTCGCTGATATCAAGCATGTTCTCTGGTGGTTGAGTGTATAAAGTATCACAGGCCGGAGTCATTTCCCTGCTGACGTCGATCTCCCTAAATTCCTGGACACCGGAAAGCAGGGAAAAAATAGTTAGTTGTGTTTATTTATGTGTGTTTTCATTAGGGCTGAAACTACTGATTCTGGATTACTTGTTTGGTCCATAAAATGTCAGAAATCAGTGAACATTTTCCATTACATGTTCTCAAAGTCCAAGATAATGCCTCACCTCTTTTATTTTGTCATTCCATACCCAAAGATATTCCGTATAATATGATATTAAACAGAGAATAACAGAATACCTCCTTATTCAATGTTTGCATGAAAAATGGCTTTACTATTCAACATATTTCGTAATTGTTTTTCTGTGGATCGACTTATCAGTTTGTCGACTAATGCTTGCATCTCTGCTGTCATGTGTGCTCATTGGAGTCTGCGTGCAAACCTCAGATGTTTCTGCAGAACTCAGGTCCTCCTCCCCTTCAGTGGAGCTGCTGTGTGAATCTCTGTCACTGCTGAGCAAAATTAGAAAGTAGACACACTTATTTCCATTTGACACAGCTCAGGTTGTTGTTACATTTCAAGAACAGAAAGTTGAATAAATAATAGGAACTTTGCTCACCACTCGTCGGTTTCATAGTGAATGACTTGAGACAATGGATCTGCACAAAACTGAACTTTTATCTGCCTCTCTGTAAGAAATAAATACAAATGGAAGCTGATTAATTGTTTTAAAAATATGTTTCCATATACAAAGACTTTACCATTCATCATCCTCACTCACCTCTTCTTCTAGTCTCTTCATTGCTGTCATCATAATACTCGTAGAAGGCCCTGATTCTCTCCTGTTCATCCCAGTTCCTTTCCTCTTCCGACTCATCTTCTCCTAACTGTCCTAGCTCGGTGATCTCACAGGCTTCAGTGTTGAAGAAGAAGTCATCATCCAGCGAACCCCTGATAGAAGGGCTTGTTGTTTGTTTTGTATCCCCTCTCTGTACCACTGAGTAGCTGTGGACGTCTTCTGCCGCAGGACGCCGAGTCACATCTGAAAGTGGTGTTTTCACCTCGTCTATGTCCTCTGTAGTTAATAGGTCTTCAGACAGATGAGCTGTTAACACGTCTAGATTCCAATTTATGCTGAAATCAGCTGCTTCCTCCCTTTTGTACTCGTCATAAGACGCTGCACTGTCCCCATCTTGAGTGTCCTCCAGTTTCTTGTTGCTTTCAGGCTCTTGTAGAGGCGTAATGTCAAAGAGTTCCTCATCGCTCCTCTTTTCTTGGACATAATCATCGCTGGAGGTGTAGGAATCATTCTCACCTGTCTCACTTCCATCCTCTACCTCTGCCACAGCTGCTTCAACCCACACATTCTCCTCAAGCTCTTTTTCTCCAGTTGCTTCATCCAATCTCCTGCACTCATACACCTCTGAATCTCTGCTGCACTGATACCTGCCTCCCTCCTCCTCAGTGTCCTCATCTTTTCCCATACATGCTACATCTGATATTAGATCTGTCACATATTTTTCCAGGCCGGTGTTTTGCTTTCCAGTTGTTTCGCTGTCAGATGCACAAGCCAAGGCGTTTGACTCTTGCCTTTTTCCTTCATCTCCTACATATTCACATGAAGAAAAGTCTGAGGGATAATCTGCAAAGCTCTCACCTGCGTCTTGGTGCTCCTCCCCTGAGAATTCCTTCATTTTCTCTCCGTTTTCATCACCATTAACTTCAGCAATAAGATCCTTCAGATTTTGAACCGATATTTCTGGAAACTCCAAACTGGCTTTTGCTGCTTCATCTCCGCAAGTATTTTCAAACTCCTGCCCAAAGCACTGCACGTTTTATTCTTGTTCAATGTTCATGCCCTCGCACTCAGAGTCACACAAGTCCTCTTCCTTTTCTTGCTCATCTTCCTCTCTTATCCCATCACCTCTTAACATCATCTCATTGCTACGTTCAGGGACTCTCTCAAAATAGGACACCTCCTCATCACCCTCACCCTCACCTTGCTCCTCTTTTCTAACTTGAGGGTTTTCAGCACCCTCCAGGGCCAGAGGTTGTCCCTCAGCAAAGACCCTGTCCTCTTTATTACCGACACAAAACTCATCGCTGCAGCTAACTGACCTAAAAAAAGACTCTGGTTGTGCTCCTGTTCCCATATCCTCTGCCTCAGCCACTTCGTATTGCCCAGAGACGGATCCTTCCTGTTCGGACTCTGAGCTTGTATAATCTTCCTCGAGTATTTTGAAGCTGCTCCTTACCCCTGCACCTTCAAAATCCTCATTGTCGCTTATATCATCATACTGCTTTTCAACAACTTCTGTGCGTGTATCTTGAGATTTCATGCAAGACAAAACTGCAGTTTGACCCGTTGCTTCCTGTTGCAAAACCTCATCTTCTTTTGCAAGTACGTTTTCTGCACAGATGTCTGTTTCGTCTTCCTCACATTTATCCTCAAAATGTATGTTCTCAAAGTCCAAATCTCCATCAGAGAAAGATGGGACTGCTGTTTCTGTAACAACATCAGCATTTGACAAATAAATAAAAGTAAATCATGAAAAAGAAAATAAGTAATACATACCACATGATGTATTTCTTACCTGAAAAAGCATCAATGAGTAGTTCAGCAAAACTGTGCTCCATCTTTTCAAGTAGGAAAAGCAATAGTACGAGTTATGTCAAGACAAACAATACTGCACAGAAAGGAAGAGAGGACGCAGTAGCTCTCTTCTGTTGTTGCTGCAAGTGGCTTCCTGTCAGGCAGACAGTGCGTGAATTACATATTTAACAACTATCTTCGATTAAACATATAAACCGTTTTCAGCAGTTAAACCTTACCATACAACTGAGGATAATCAAAAGGTCTCAAAGAAGTGAAGTCACAAAAGTCAATTGTGTTGCTGCAGGAAGTTACTTCATGAATTCATGAAGTGTGTCAGCCTTGATGTGGTTTTAGTGTCAGATGAATGATATAAACTCCACAATGTTCATGCTAAAAGAACACACATGTATTTGTGTTTATGCAACTGAGATGAGTGCAGTGCAACTTTGACTAGTTAGTTATTATAAAAAGAACAATAGCTGTCAGTGATTATTTTGTTAGTAGCTTTTATTTAATTTGACATCTAAAATCAAGTAAAACAGTTCAAATGAAGACATCCGGGTTTGATGATGATTGTCCTACAGCTCGTTGCGGAGGAGGTAGCGGTGGTTGGGCTTCAGGTCAACTTCTACAGGGAAATGATCGCTCACTTCGAGAGCCTAAAAGAGACATCACGAAGAACAGGATTAATTTACATTTTAAGTATAATACTGAAACAAAGAAAAGTATATTTTTAACATGTTTACCTCTTCCTCTGTGAGATGGAAATTCTCTTTAAAGTTGAACGGCTGAGCGGAGCCTGGCACTATACCGGAAATAATCTCACGTCCATGGACAATGATCCTGTTTCAAAGGGAGAAACGTATTGAAGGCATTACCCTACAGCCAAAAGAGTGATTGTAAAGGACTTCTTCAGTACTTCACTAACCTGTCGTAGGCACAGTGTGTCTTCTCACGGACAGTAGTGTCTTGGTCATCTCCGATTAGCCAGTGAAATTTGGGGTCACTCCTCAAGCGGTTGGCCTTCCAGCCCTTGATGGTGATGTAGCTGCAGGCAGCGTTGAGGTCCCCTAAGATCATCACATTCTGAGTGAAGGAAAGGAAGCAAAAAGGGATGTTCAAAACGTCAAAAATGCTCATAAATCTCATGATATGTGGAAGTGAGAAACCATAGTTTAACCATAAGAGGCCAAGCTTCAGAACACTGACAGAGACATAGATAAAACATGACCAAAATAAGTGGAAAATAATGCTATGGTTTAACCTCAGTCTTCCATTTCTGGTAAATCCCTTTGAAGACAGTGTGCAGTTCATTAATCTCCTTCATGGCATTTTTGGGACAGGTGTGCTGACCAATCAGGACAAAATCCTTCACCACTGCAACACAAGAAAACAATTAAAAGTAAAGCATCTTCAAAGAACATGTGATAAATGTATCTATGTGATACTGGCCTCAGATCATACTAAGATACTAAGGTGGCTAATTTCCTGTCATGCAAGTTTTCAAAGATGCCGTTTGTTTTATCTTACATGTTGTTGGGGAGTGAAAGCGAACGATGAAAGGCTCTCTGGAGAAAACGTCTGTTTCAATGGTCCCGTCTCCTTCTAGTTTAGGATACTGATAGTGCTCTTGGACCGTCAGCACATTGGTCCTGAAGAAGATGAGGGAGGAAAAAAGACAATGTTAAAGATGTCACCCTAAACTGTCCCTCTACAGCAGTTGGCGGTGTTAGATTATAGCAGGTTACCTGTAGAGGTAAACATACTGCTCCTTGTAGCTCTTCCTGCCCAGCCTTTCACTTTCCACATAGGAGTATGTGTTAGATTTGTCATATCTGCCGACAACAACATAGAAGAGATGCGTTTAAAGTTGAATGTGTGACAGAGGTCTTACCACATCCTTTGAATGAGCCGGTTTGAAACTGAGAAAGCTTGTACCTGTTAAGATCCTTAACCAAAGCTTTTATTGCTGCTCCTTTGGAGTCTCTGACCTCCTGAATAAGACACAAGTCGCACCGAGAAAGAATCTATGGAGCAAAAGAAAAAGAAGATCTTTGAGTTGTTTACTTTTGTGTAGATGTTGTTCTAGCTGTATACACACAGTAAAATACCTTTAGTAGAATCCCCATAACCTTCCTGTTGTTTGCCTTTGATTCACCGAAGCTCTGAACATTGAACGCACAGATTTTCAGGGAAGATGTGGGATCCAGCACACACAACCCCACGACTAACAGCAGAACCGCAGTCCTCATCTCGCAGAGGCTTATCACTCTGAAAGTCAAAGAGGGTTTGGCAAGATCCTCTTAGTCCTGTTGTGAAATATGTACAAAAAAAACTCTTCTGCTCTTACTTTGCCCCCTCTCACTCTCGGTCTCAGTTCCACCACGAGATTGACCTCAGGCAGGCAGAGATCCATCCCTTCAGTAGGTGGCGGTGTATTTGGGGAACATGCAGGTAAACGGACGGATGTGCTGTGTCAGGGCCTGGTGAGAATGGAGCTTTATCTGGAACTGTTAAAACCACTGAACACAATGAACAGCGCTGTGTTTTGTCTCTGAGTGTGAGTGTTATCAGACAATAGACACTGCCATGGGTCATGTCTGTCAGTTTCATGAACATTTGGGTAGAATTTAGAACATATTATTCTGTCATTTTTGCATTGAGAGCTGGTTGTTACCATTACTGACATAAATAACGCTGAGCTCTTAACTGTGATGGGGTGCTTCTCCCTCTGACAGTCATTTTTATGTTATGTCTCTTTGATCTGTATTGGTTTTTTTCTGTCATGTAGGCTACTCAATGACCTAATACAGGATATTACTAGTATCATCATATTAAATGATACCCATTCAATATGATGATACTGGTTCAAATATAGTCAAGTATTGATACAATACATCGTTTTATAATGCAATAAGGTTTGATACATTTGTTTTATTAAAATATAGCCTACTGTACTTGAGAACAATGTTGATGAACTTAAGGAAATATTGTACTTTTTATGTATTACCTTTATTTGATAGCTGTAGTTACTTTGCAAGTTGAGGTATGATAATGATGATGATGATTAAAAACATGTTTTGCACTGTTGTAGATTGAACTACATAATATATAGTATATACTGTAGAGTAGTCAAAGTGTGTTTGACCTTAAACAGCCACAACACTAAGTATACATGTTAATCCATCACGGTGATCACCAAACATGTCTGTGTTTAAAAAACTAACTCTGACAGGGGCTTACTGTATAATACCTTTTGTTAACCCAAGTATCATTTTTCAAAGCAGAAAATTACTTTACTTTGACTGTAAATTAGTATTTCCACAGTGTAATGCAGTATTACTGTTTTTAAGATATGACTATGTTCCCCAAACACGACACAAAAGTTAGTTATTGTTTGTACAGTAAGTAAGTGCAGCAACCCTATCCCCTAGAAATACTGTTGTGGGGCTCAGGCATTTAGTTTCACTTGAACACACTTGAGTTTTATTAATAACTATAAACGATATGACATGACAGCTGGGGTTTTAACAGAATCAGAATACCTTTATTAGTCCCACAGATTAGTTAGTTAAGTTAGTTAGTTAACAGTGTCTTACAAATCTTTTATTAACCCAAAGCACGATGAACTCTAGACTCTAACTAGTGGCACATTTGTACAATATTATAACGTAACGTCTGTAAAACTTGAATTGCTATTTCATTTTCCTTGCTCTCCATTCTTTCTTTAATTGAGAACAGGTTTTTCTTGACTTTATATTTTATTTCATTTTGACATGGCTTTTTCAATATAAAATAGGGTGCTTTTGACAAAACAAGTTTACAGTAGAATACCTCACTATTTTTTTGAGACTATTAACTCACAGTTTCTCAAAATGTTATTAATGTCAGAAAACTATTAATGTCACAGTGCTTTTTAATTGTTGTAAACATTACAAAAAATGTTCACACTGGAGGTGAACTTTCTGCAAACATCCCACATATGGCAACAAAAACTGTTCACACAAACTTTGAGCTCCAAGTCAAACATTTGATCAAATCCAAAAATATTAACTAAATGCACCCTACATCCCAGACGAAGAAGAAAAAGATCATCAAAAGCAACAAAAAACCGACAATAAAATAATGTTGACATCATATGGGTCTAAAACAGCCTGAGTGTTGAGGAGAGGCCATGTCCATGAGATAGTCTTCGATACGTGTTTCTATGTCTGAGTGCAGGTCTTTAACCTGCTCCCTGAAAGGAGGATGCCACAGCCACAACATGGCAACCCCCGCCACAGCCAGGAGAAATAGGAGGAACAAACACACCTTCCAGCAGGAGCCACACCGCGTCTAAACAAAGAGGGAAGAAAGAAATATATAAAATATAAAGTAATATATAGTTACATCTATACAGTAAGGTATGTAAGGTAAGATAACTAAGCACAATTTTGATCCCTGGTACTTTACCACATGTATTCAATATATTTAACTCATTTAAAGATTCAAATTTAGAATAAAAAATATAATCAATAAATTATGTATTATCATATGTTGAGATAAGACTGTTGTTATCCCTTTGCGGCTACCAGGCAGTATATATGGTCAAATAAGTTCCCCTTTTCTAACATAAAAATTAACACATTAATGCATCGATAATTATATCTCATACAATATATTGGTAAAAAAAAAATAGTTTCGAGTGAATACTTTTACTTTTGTACTGTAACTACATTGATGCTTTTGTTGTCTTACTAATGTAAAGCTTTTGTCAGTTAATGAGAGCATTTGAGTATATCAAGGAATTGTGTTTTATACTCCCTAACCCCCCGCCCCGCCCACCCACACACACCCACCCGCCCACCCACACACCACCCACCCACCCACACACACACACCCACGCACACACACACACACACACACACACACACACACACACACACACACACACACACACACACACACACACACACACACACACACACACACACACACACACACACACACACACACACACACACACACACACACACACACAGCTCACCGGTCTCCTGCGATGATGGCTGAGTTGCCGGAGCTCGTCCCTGCACTGCGACAGCCGGGCCTGGCTGGACTTACACTCCTGCTCCACGGCATGCAGCTCTGTCTGCAGCTCCTCGCACTGTAGACACACACACACACACACACACACACACACACACACACACACACACACACACACACACACACACACACACACACACACACACACACACACACACACACACACACACACACACACACACACACACACACACACACATACAGAGACACACCATATGGCAGTATTGAGAATACATTTGTCTGCAATGAGTGAGAATTGTTGACATTCATTTGAAAAAGAACCTTGTCGATACAAGGTGTTTCCTTTGTTTTATATTTCTGAGTAATGCCTCTTTAACCATCATGATTATCATGCATCTCTGTACAACTCTGAGATCATGAACATTATAATTTATGAATATTCGTGTGGCAGATTGAAATAATCAAATTGTGAAACGTGTACAGTAAATGCACTACAGTACACTTTGATATCTCGACTCTACCTCTCTCTCCTTGAGTTGGAGTTTCTCCTGAGTGTGACGGAGCTCTTTCTCCACCTCAGAGTCCCTCCTCTCCGCCTGTCGTGTCTCTGCTTCCTCTGACATCACACGCTCCTGCATCATCAAGTCCTGGCTCTTATTGCTGACATCTAGGGAATAGAAAGCAGTTTAAATTACTGATGTGTGTTGCACGTATTATAAAAATAGCCCTCAGTATAAAATAATATGACTAGTGTCTTGCCTCTGAGGTCCTGAATTTCCTCTCTTAAGGTCTGGTTGTCCTCTTCCAGCAGGGAAGCGTTGTACCGTATGTCCTTATTCTCCTGTCTCAATGACACCACCTCCTGCCTCAGCCCGGACTCTCTGCCTCTAGACAGCTGAACAGTACACACAGAGGCTTTATAATACAGCACACAGTCAAACCTCTTTCCTTCCACCTGCTCTTGGACTACCGTACCTCCGCTTGGCTGTGCAGCTGTTGCAGTTGATCATCACTGAGGTGTTGGTTCTCCTGGAGCTGTACAGAGTTCAGCTTCAGCTCCTCATAAAGGCTCTGCCACCTCAGTGACTCTGCGTTTACTTTTATGAGCGCTTCCTAGTGGCACAAAAACAAGGTATCTCAGAGATTCATGTATACAATCTTACTTTTTGACATGTCAAAAGCAACATCTACAACCTGAAAACATAATTGAGTCAGTGACATGAATGTGTCTTTCAGCATAGTGAAAAGGAAACATTCTGGTTGTTTATGTTTTGAGTTAAAAGCTAGATGTGTTTATGACCTGCAGTGTCTCAGCCTTGCAAAGCGCCTCAGTTTTCTCCTGTATGACCTTCTGCAGTGTGACCAGGGCCTTCTCCTCATACACCATTTTCTGCTTCTCCATCTGTATCACCAGTCTCTTCACTCCATCCTTGGGAAACTTCTAAAAGGACACAACACTGCTGAGGTACACCTACAAATGCTTACAGTGTTAAACAAATCGATATAGTAGTATCATCACTGCATGACTCAGTACAAGTGTTGAGAAGGTTGGCTTCTTTAGGAAGGACAACATGTTGGGATTGTGGCAAAGAAATCATACAAAAACAGAAAAGAAACACTAAATGGTTTGATCTTCACCAGCAGCTGCAGTTCTTACCTGCAGGCTGACTTGCAGCTGCGCCTCCAGAGCCTTGATCTTGTTTCTCAGCAGGTCTTCAGAGCAGCGAGCCTGTGTGGGTTAGAAAGGAAATGAGTGGCTGTCACGCTGTAGCCTGCAGATGGAAAATGAATGGTTGGTCTACCAGACTCTGTGACAGTTTGACTCTTCACTGTCTGCGCTCACAGGTGCACAAAGGGAACTTGCAGCATCAGTGAGCCTCAAAACAGATCCCAATGTCTGCATGTGCTGCGGCAATACACTGTACTGAGTGTGGAAACATTACGTATAAGTTCCCTCAGAATAACACCTGAGTGAGAATTAAAAGGCACTCATTGTTTTAAAGTAAATTAACTTCTAGATCCACAGCTCTCAAAACTCAAATACAAATTAACAAAAAAAGGGAACACAAAGCTCACCCTTTCATTCATTAAAGCAAAGAAAAACTAATGAGGATGCATTGCACCTATAAAATACAGCTACTGAATGTCACACCCTTCCTGTATAAGAACGACAGCTTGCAGTATGCAATATAGGCTTTAGAGCGGAAGCAGGAAGCTCTTAACCACAGACTGCACAGGCCTTCCTGAGGTAGCATTCACCAAATGAGTTTTTCAGTGTTATTACCAGAGAACTTAGACAACATTTCCTCTTAAAACTAAAGATTTGTGTTTAGTATTTTGAATCTGTTACTGCGAAACACTGAGGGTTTTCGTGAGGATGGAGAATCTTACCGTCCATATTTTGCTGGAGGAGTTCACAAGGTTTGATGTGCTCTCCTGGAGGGCTGCTAGCTTCTTCCTCACAGCCTCCTCTCTCCACAGGGCCTCCTGGCACACAAACACACAGCAGAAGAGAGAGAGAGAGCTACAACAACATGCAAATCAAGTCAGCATCGTATGCCCACAACTGCAAATATCATCTCATATTCTTCATAAAAATAAAACTGCAAGATTTCTTATTTTTGTCACAAACATTTAGGCAATTAACTCATAGGCTATCTGGATATAAACAAACTACAGCAGCAAAGTATGACTGTTGCTTACAATCCTGTTCGATATGTATATCTCAATACTGCTTCTACTGCTTTTAACAATTGTGTGTCCTTTTCCAATCTATTAACTTCATGCCCTGTTTTTGTATTGCTTTGATTTATTTTACAAAGCTTTTAGTAGGCTTTCACCCTGGTTAGAGAATAGTCTACTGTAAAAAAAAAAATGCCTTATGGCTTATTCCAGTTAAAAATATATTTATAATATTTATGAACCTAACTTGTCACTTATTGCAAATAATCCAAAATACAGACAAGCCATTAAGTCAATTGCCACTAATTGCTAGCAGGCCATACTCTAGCTTCATATTATTTTAAAAGCAAAACTATCCAACTTGCATCCAAGAGTGATACAACTGTGATAATGATAAATGGTTAAATGAAAACCAACAGTGGCTCAAATTGATAAAAGTCTAACTTATTTGAGTAATGTCAGTTAAACAAAATGTAGCTCACTTTGCTAACGTTAGCCACCAAAAGCTAGAGGTCATTCCAGACAAAGTGACTCTGTATCAATAAGATCCCCAATTTTTAAGCTTATGAGTTCAATGTTTTATTTACAAGAGGAAAATGTGTTAATTTCTCTAAGGGTAGCACAGTCCTGCTTTAACTAAACAAATCAGCAGAACTTACCTGCAAGTAGTCAGTCAACCTCTGAAGATCCTATAATGTGAGAGATAAGAGACATCAAAGACATTTCTTTAAATCTGATTTTTCTAATATGAAAATAAGATATAAAACCCAGGTTATTTTAGCAGCAGTTTAAAACTTACTGACTCCTTCACAGTGACAAAACCAGACCTGAAAGAAAGAAAATATACTATTAAGATAAAAAAACATTTATTTGTGCACTTTTTTGTAAGCTGGCAGTTTATCAGTATTAATTAATTATTCACATCGGTTTTATATCAAATATAAAACTATATGTGAGGAAAAAAAGGTTGATCACTTTTGCTTTTATATGAAATTTGAGATTTAAGATAAACTCACAAAGTCTGCACACTGGACTCGTGCATTATCTTCTTTTGCAGAATATTTTCAGTTTTGATGATGAATTTTTTGTGGATCTTTTCTGTTTGGATGAATGTTTTGATGTTTGTATTTTGACCTTTAAGAAAAAGTTAGGACACAGCCTTGTTAGTATGGAAGATAATTTGCATTTTTGGTCAACAATGTTATGTAAGTAGGCAAGACTTTAACCATTTATAGTCTCTCTTGTATCTGTGCCTTTCTTCCTGCTCTGGGTTGTTTCCTTTATCTCTGGTGGAGAGATAGATGCTGGACTTCTAGCGCTGCCTTTCTCCTGGCTTAGTGTTACCTGTTCTGACCATAATGCAGCCTGAGGGGAGGGGGAGAAGAGGCAGGTGTACAAAAGTTAAATAATGGAGCGTTATTCAAAAGTACAAAGTTCTTTACAGAGGAAAAAATAAATAAATTGACAACATTAATAATAAAATCCAATAAGGGCAAAATAAAAATGAATAAAAGTAACAGTCATCTCAGATAAAATAAGAATCTGCTTTCTGATAACTTTAAAGAAGAAGATCAATCATTCTTCTTCTAAGATAACCATCTTAATAACATTGAATGATATTTACCCAGTTGCTGGTGCTTGGGCCATCAGATATTTTGCTGTTGGGTGTTAAAATAATCTTTGGAAGCCTTCCATTTGCAGTGGGAGTATTTTGGATGTTTGTATGCAATGTCTCTGACTTGCTGAATGAACTGTAATGTTTCAATGAAAACGTGTTTGGTGAAAGTTTCCTCCTGGAAGAATAGTTGGAAATATTTTCACCACACGGCTCTGGGCTCACTGATCTCCTCCTGAGGAATTCAAGATGCCTCTTTTCCTTCAGTTCATTTTTGATCAGTCTGGTGTTCAGCTCTCTTGTTGGGCTGCGACATGAAGTCACGTTGTTACGTCCTCGCAGGTATTCACGTTTCTCTGCTCTGAGGTCCACTTTCTGGTCAAAGGGTTTCTCTGGGGAGAGCTGTGATCCTCTGACAGGCAGGGCGTCCATGGCTGTCCTCTGGCTGTCCTCTGGCTGTTCAACTGCAACAATGTATCAGGAAATTAATTTAACTGTTAAATATGATTAAATATACAGTATGGCACACCATCTATAGCGGACTGGTATGATAGTCTCAATGAAATATTTCTAATAGAAACAATCACAAGCAGAAAATACTTGTATCCCCAAATTGTGTTTTTTTTTCCTCAATGAAAAACAAATTATATTATATTAATTAATACATTTACATTCTAAAAAGTAAAAAGGATAAATCATGAAATCTATATAACTAATTATGATGTTGTTAACTGCTGCTGTAATGGGATTCCAACATTAAGGAAAGCATGTAAAAAAAGCAATATCTAATATATGTTAACAGCTGATTAAGAATGATTCAATTCACTGTGTGTATGCAATCATATAACTAAGATATACACGTTTTCAGTATTTTAGGTGCAAAATAATAGCTCAGATAGTGAGATACATTACAATATATATAGATATGTATGTAACAGAACAGTTTTCTTGTTTTTCCATATACATAGAAAACACTGTATAAAATATACACTAGAAGTTGTTTGGTATAAATGTTTGTATTCCTAAACACCTCTTGTGAGAACTTGCAGCACAGAAATCAGTTTTCTCTATTAGCTATAATGAAATAACTCTGTAAATAACTGTTGCTAATTTAGAATAAGCACATTGGTGAATGGGCTCCAAAGTTATAGGAGTAGTATGCTTCAAATTAAACAAAATGCAAAGCATAAACAGTTTATTTTAAATGTAGGATGCCCTGTGTTGCAAATGAATCAATTATCTTTATGAACCATTGAGGTAAGTTGTAAAAGAAGCAGTATGAATAATAACTTGCAAGGTAATAATTAATAAAGGTAATGTTGCAGTGGTTGCATTGTGTTTGCATTTTGTCAGAAAGCTCTTTTATCGCTGAGTATCAGAGTTCTCAAAGACAGACAAGGCCCTGGTGTATCGAGACTGTTAAGGGAAAATGTTCAAGATCATGCAAACACAAAATGTTGCTTGAAAAGCAGAAATCATAGATCTTACCTAAAACGCCATGTCATTCAGTGGAGAAAAGTCTTCATGAAGTGAATATGAAGTCCATTTTCTCACTCTTCTGAAATAGTGCCGGTGTTTTGTCTGTTTCACATGTAGCTGTTTCTGTTGAACATCATTTTACAGGAAGTAAAGCGAACCATAGCGTCATATGTTCCTCTATCTCACCAGCCACTCGCATCAAACTGATGCCATACACGGGTGGGCCCCAAGATTACACACACACAGACAATTCCCCCTGCAAACAGGCGGGATAAAACACACCAGTGGAGAGAGCTCTAAAAATAACAACAGTTTTTCATTAATAAGTGGGTTAAACAGAAGCGTATAACTTGAATATTACCATTCACATTTATGTTGTGTTATGTTATGTTATTTTGTAAATTGGAAAAAAAACAATATATTTGAATCTGGGCATTTTATTTTGTTTTTTAATGATTTGTATTTGCTTATTCATTCTTTATTTCTGACCCAATTGATCAAAGTGTGAAGCAAAAGGGTTCCCTCAGATTATAGATATTTTTGTGTTGTATTATCTTGTTATGATGTATAATTGTCAAACAGGCAGTTGTCTTCTGTAAATCCTGTGGCTGTGGTGGTTCACTCTACTGAAGGTGACCCCCAAGAACCCAGTGGCCACAGTCAGACTTAAAAGGTGAAAACAACACCAGTGCTTCTGTTGTAGCTGGTTAAATGGGGCAAATAAGTAAACTTCAATCTAATGCTGTACAGTAGATGAGAGCAGATTTGTCATCTGTAGTTGTGTATGGGTTGTTTGCATTAAACCAATTTACTTTATTTTTAAGGTCATGATTATCTTCAATTTTATTTTACCTAGCAAAGAGTAGAGCTATCAACTCAAATAAATGATCTACATTGATACCATAATCTCTATTAATCCAATCCAAAAGGTGAGGACAGTGAAAAATGGTATCTGTGCGTACAGCTCCATCTAGTGGTCACTTCCTTTAACAACCCTAAAAATAGAAGCTCTACTCCACTCTCGCGATACTTCAGGAGGATATCTCATGTGTCCGCCATCCTTGTGGCTCTTTGCAGAAGGGCACGAAGAAGCCGAAACAAACAGAGTGCCCAGTGTAGCAGGAATACTTGGCTCTTCTTCCTTCAATCATGCTGTCCAGGGTCATTGCTGTGTCAGGTATGCATTATTAGATTAATCTAGCAAATTATTGTTGTATGAAACTCTCATGCATAACCAGTGTCAGGTCGGAGAAACAACAGTTTAAAGTGAATGTGAAGCTGAAGGGTAAAGTGAAGGCCGCACATTGAATGGGAGACATGCTAATGCTAGCTTTAAGTGGCTTAGGTAACTACAAGCAAGGTACAACTGTAGCTATTGCTTGTATTTGTATTGGCAATAACGCAATTGACTGTTTAATGTATTGTATTTATATCAGACACCACTAACAGTTGGTTACAGCTGTGTTGAATGATCTAAAGCTAACTATAGCAAACCGAAGCTAGTTAGCTAGCTTTAGCTCTGCACGCATGTAAATGTCACCTTTTGACAGCTAGCGTTGGTCGGTATTGTGACTTTACGTTTTTAATAAAGGACAAACACCACTTACACAATGCAAATCCACAAGAAGTGTTTATTTTTATCTTAATGCTTTCACAAGTTATTCATTTGAGGACAACCTATTTGCTACCTGACATTTGTATTGTTGATATCATCAGGTGATATTAAAATGGCTTCATACAATTATAGGATTTCTTGACTATATTGAACATCTATACATTTCCAGTTTATGTATTACACCTGGAAAATACAACAGTCCTGGAACTATTACAACCTTCATGAAGGTTACAATGTTCAGCTGTTGTAGAAACAATTTCAGAGTGGTGTTGAATGCTTAAGTATAAAATAAATGCACTAAATGTGAATGAAAACAAGCAATATTTGCAGCCCTGAATTTACATTATTGTTTCTTCTTGATTGCAGCCAGTGGCCTGAAAAGCACTGCCCCCCTTGGAGCTGGGTAAGTGTGTTTTTAAAAAATATATTTGTATTTAAAGTATTTGTTGCCAACAGGATAGATTTAAGGAATAACAAATATGAATCTTTTATCTTATTAAAAGTGATGTATGATTTTGTTTTGCACAGTCTGGTCCAGGCCTCTCGCTCCCTGCACACATCATCCCCGAGTCTGGCTCCAGTGCCCCCCCTGCCAGAGGGAGGCAAGGTCCGTCATGGCATCGTACCAGAGGAGTTCTTCCAGCTCCTGTACCCCAAGACTGGAGCTACAGGTCGGTAGACGCAACACTCACCTTTTGGTTATTTAATTTCTCTTAGGAAAAATCAGTGCTGAAATGAAACACTGAGTATTTGAATACCGCTGTATAGCTTCACTTAAATCAAATAATGAACAGCAATTGTAACCTTAATAGCTACCAACAAATATTACATATATATTCTCATTAGGTCAAAACCCAACACACATCAAAGAGTTTCGATGTCAGTATTAAAAACATCATCCATGCAATAAAAAGTGTCATTTCCAAATGTTCAATAACTCATTGTGGTGGGAAAGATTTAAACAAATATTCTGAAATTGAATTAATAAAATGCAGCGACAAACAAAAGTCATAAGTCCTGTTTAGAATGGACAGAGTTTAAGCAGAGATTTATTTGTTCAGATATGTATTGCATACCAACTGAATGCTGCTTGTAGGTTTCCGTGGCTTATCACTGATTCTGATCAAAATGAAGATGCTACATGAACATTAATTCATTGACTGATCAAATTCTCCATGCTGATCTTTCTCACTAGGACCCTACATGCTGGGTACTGGCCTCAGCGTCTGGCTGCTCTCCAAGGAGCTCTACGTCATCAACCATGAGACCGTTGCAGCCCTAACCGTCGGCACCGTCTTCGTCTTAGCTGTCAAGAAATTTGGGCCAAGCTTTGCATCTGCTATGGACAAAATAGAAGAGGTAAGCTGGCAACCACTTGGTTGGCAACCGTTTTTTTCTGACCAATTATTGGCTACATTTTAAAGGCAAAATAACAAGGATCCTTCTCGTTTTGGAAAGAGCTTAGTCAACTTGGCGTTTTACCTTCATGTATATTTGCATCTCTTTCCCATGTTCTGTTCCGAACACAGCCAACATGCAAACCTAATCCTACTCATTCTGCCTTTTTCCAGATTTCTGATCTTCTTTTTTTTGCATAGACATGTTTGTATGCTATTTGTCTTTTTTAATTTGTGTACAGCCTTTTCAAGCACTGATATAATGCTGTGTGTTGTGTTTCTGCAGGAAAAAACAGCCTGGATTGAAGACGTGAAGGACCAAGCCATGGCGTGCTACGCTGATGCTATCGAGGAGGAGAAGAAGGAACAGTGGCGAGTGGAGGGAAGATCCATGCTCTTCGACGCTAAGAGGGTAACCAGCTTTGAACTGGCCATTTCTATTTTCCCATATCTTCATAATGTTCTGTTTCATATTCACACGGCACTCATTACACAATAAACATGCATTATTCTAAACTTTACAACAGGAACCCACACACATTTTGATACTTAGACTCCCATATATCTGACCAAAGATGACTCTATTCTTCTACTCTCATTGAACTGTTGCTCAGGTAAATGTTCCTCCCACTGAACTTTCAATTGTCAGTCTGGTAGAACCATTGAACCATTGAACAGCGTTGTTCTCAGTTTACAAAACCAAACTTCTTTTAGAAAGCCCTTCATACAAATATATCTTTCTTTGGTAAACCTTTTACAAACTAGCTCACGTTAGATCATATGTGCTGTAAAGCCAATACATCAGTGTAAATGTTTAGATGTAAAGAGCAAGGAAGGAGTTTAACCTGCTTTAAATGAATATGGAAGATTCATTAAATGCCAACATGAGCAACCCAAATGTAGACCAGGTGTATTTTGTCAGTGAGCTTTCTTTGACTGTATGGACTGCTCTTCCCCTCAGAACAACGTGTCCATGCTGTTGGAAACCAACTACAGAGAGAGGCTAAACCATGCGAAGCACGAGGTGAAGAGGCGCCTGGACTACCAGCTGGCCCTGCAGCACCTCAAGGTCCGGATGGAGAAGGAGCACATGGTCAACTGGGTGGAGAAGAACGTCGTCGGCAGCATCACCGCCCAGCAGGTCGGTGTCAAACTGTCGAAGCCTCCAGCAAGAGGAGGAGGATGATGATGAAAATGTTTTGCTTTTCACAAATATTTTTTTAAAGTCACCATTGCATTTGTTTTCGGGGAGTTTTCATTTTTCACTATCTTTCTACCTTTTTGAGGATCCAGTGTCAGGGCGGTATCTCTAGTCTTGTCCTCTTACTGTCTCGGCCCAGCTGTAAAACATGATAAGAGAAGCCCCCTCTCTACAAACACCCATTTTTTAAAGATGTACACTTTCCAAGTTATCCAAGAGAATGTTATTATTATTAGTCAAATACTCACACTTTTCTGTGAGGCTCTTGGAAGCAGCCATAGTTATTTTTCTGGGAAGTTAGCACGTTTTGGGTCCCTAACGTCGGTGACATGGAGATTCTTGGCTGACAGATGAGTTCACTTCCTGTCCATCTGGAGATACTTTGGACTTGATTTCACTCGTCATCAATTATTTCCTTCTGTCAGGGAAAAAAAACATGTTACCCAAGCATCTTTAGAATAAACTGGACTAACGATACACTTTAGGTGTCACTAAAGTGTAAAATACAAATAATAAACAGACTTAATTACACTCCCCAGCCTTTCTAATTAGGATACAAACCATATTGCAACACGCTCTCATGTAATCTCTTTTGCATCTGGACTTAAACAGACCATTCAAACGGAATGCCTTTTTTCTATATATAAAATAAGGACCTTCTTTATTCTTCATTTTACAAAAGACAAATTATTTTAGTTTGGACTTCTATTATTACTAAACTTCTAAAATAAGAGATTTCTTAAATGTTTTATGAAGTTTACAAGTTGACATTCAATGGTTTGCATTTGTGTGTTTGTGTTTTAGGAGCAGGAGAGTATCGCCAAGTGCATCTCAGACCTGAATGTCTTGGCCAAGAACATCCAGGCCAAAGCTACAGCATAAACGGTCGATCCTCAGAGAAGATTTCTCTCATCCCCAACCCGCGGTCCC